ACCCTTCGTGACACGAGGGTGTCATGTAGCCACCAGCTTTCCCCGTCATCATCCGTATCAGAAAGTCATTCTCATCTACCAGTTACCCTACACAGGCTACGTAGTTTTATGATAGATCATTTGCGATGTAACAGCGTCATGTAATCGCCAGGCAACACGCTTATCATGCCCTGTCCGAGAGGTCTCCTGTCTACTTCTTTACCCCACATAGGCTACATGGGTGGACGATGTATTGTTTGTGACAAGGGAGTATTATGTAGTCGCCAGACACCACGATCATTATGTCCTATTCGAGCGGTCTTGTGTCTGCTTATCGATCCCACATATGCTACATGGGTTTACGCTATGTTATCTGCAACGTGTGAGTGTGATGTAGCTACCAGACCTCATTGTCATCATGCCGCATCTGAGGGGCCGCCTGCCTACCCGGATACCCCACAAAGGCTACATGAGTCCCTATTCTGTTATATACAACTAGAGAATGTCATGTAGCCATCAACCTCCACTGTTGTCATGTACCGTTCAAAGGGTCTCCTGTCTTCCCTGACACCCCACACCCTACCCTTCATCCATCCTTCGACCTTATCCTGATACTGACATGCATTCCCTGCTTAGTTAAGGCTGACTCTCGGTGCGGTCAGACTGAGGTGTTAATGTCGCTGCAAGTGCGCGGTTCAGTGGACAGAGTAGGAATACAGGATCGATTAAGCGCCTTTAGGTGTTATCAAGAGATAAATATCGTGAAGAGGTCAGGTCGACACGAATGGGGTAGTGGGCTACGGAGGTTGTACTGCTCTGCTCCTCTTTCGTGATGCACGTCTCTGCGCTGTGTCATGTGGATGCCGCGGTATTCGGGAGTGCTGTAAGGACAGCCCCTGTTCGATTCTTTCGTGTCCAGTTTTTGTTTCACTCGAACGTGGAACTACACTTGTCTCATCGGATACACACATTGATACTGCTTACTCGGGTCCAACTTGTATACAATATCTAGTGTGTTACGATGTTAGAAGGCGTAGGTAGTATGCAAGCCGATAAGACTGGGCTAGCGAAGATTGAGATGCACTTCGAGCAGGTAGACGGCATAGTACAACAGTGAGTTCTTTGGGACTTGTCATATGGCAGCTTGATACGGGCTTTCAGAGTAACGTAACTGGAAGACGGTCGATCTTCAGGAGCATTTTGGGGGTGTGATGGAGAAAAGAGCTCAAGATGGTTTTGGACACGCGTTGTCGCAATAAAACGTGAATGCGCAGGGTTGCGTATGGATGTTGCTGCTACATGTTCAAGTATGCCAGATGGTATGCGCAACGCCAAGTTACATTTCGTGCGCGTTACGCTATTTGGTACGAGCGTGGCGGAGAAGTGCAAGGAATCGATGGCGTGGAGAACCTCAGGCATCGCATGCGAGTTTCGTTGGCGGCAATGAGTCTCGAGCTTTGTATATACTGATGCGGAGCTAGGCATCCACGTTCCCCACTGAGTACAGTTAGGAAATGAGACGGATGCGTACCGCAGAAAAGACCAGTTTAGCATCGCAATCTTATCGTTCAGTGACCTCGAGATGACGTCGCAAAGGCTTGCTGGAAATGTATCATGTGCAGCGCAGACCATCTACAGAGTACCCAGGAACCTAAGGCTTGTTATTCGCGATATATCCGCAAGACGTCGGATATGCTAAAACAGGAAGTGGTCGAGCGGCCTCGTGCCTAGGTCCACGGGTGATGCTGATGACCTCGGATTGGAAGAGGTAGCGACTACTCCCAATGAAGTTTAGGCTCGCAATATTCTACCATCCCTTCTCCATGCTCCAATCCACTGGCCATCTCTCGCATCACGATGGAAAGTCCATATCGCGTTCTTTGATGCCTGTCGACACGACTTCAGGTGCCGGATGCACACACATTCGCGAACGTTGGAACTTTTCAATATGGCGTGTATAAAGATGCTCACTCCCCATCACCTGAGGACATGAGCCTGCTATCGCGCTCTCTGTAGCCTTTGGTCTGCTGATCATAGCTGCACAGAGCATTCCGAATACCTTCTACACCAACCTTGGTAGCGACAACGACAAAGCCCCCACAGTGAAAATCGTACTTGCGGCGGCGAATTAGGAAGTTGCTGTCATCAATCCAGCCTGCAAGTATCGAGAAAACCATCATCTGATCCACGTGTGCGATTTTACTATTCTGGATCTGACGTATCCTTTGGAGAACTGGCCACTGAGATGGCACTCATTGCAGTTTCCGTTATATTGTCGCTACCTACCTCACTGACACACTGAACCAAGCCTTCCTTCGCTACCGCGCGCAGTTGGAAAGAACAGTAAAGCACGATGGCACAGAACAATATTCGAATATGCATTCCCCATTCAGCAAGATACTTCATCACCCAACAACATTTCTAAACCATCATTCCCGTCTTCAGCAAGAATATCAAACACGCTCTTAACCCAGCCATACAAGAAATTCTACCACCCACACACCCACCATGGTGGTCTCCGGGTCGCCATTTCTTGTCCTCGAGACACCGCCACCACCGCCACCACCGCCGACTATCCGCACGCATCCACATCTTTTCAGTCCACAAACAACCTACCCAGCACCCCCGCCGCCCACCCGTCAGGTACCATCCCACCTTCTGCGCCCAGGTTCATACATACCACAACTCACTTGTGCGACACCGACTCTACCCACGCAGCAGATTCCGTCTCGCCCTCTACCTCCAGTTCAGTATCCCCAGCCAACTCTACAACCAACTCTCCAGCCAACTCTCCAACAACAACAACCATCACCATCGTCCCAACCCATCATACCTAGTGAACACACATACAAGGCCCCGACCCGTCCCCCCGGCCTCTCCACCCAACCAGGCCAATACCCAACGCAGCTCTTCGACGCACTCATCTACCAGCACAAGTGTGCAGGCTGTGTCCACGAGCGTTTCTACGGGAAAGAATACAGCACGTACCATTGGCCGGCGTGTAGGTGGTTGGAAGGGAGGGAGAGGATGGGGAATGCGGATGCGAAGGTGGGGTGTGGGGGGTGGAGGAATGTTTTTAAGGATGAGATTGAGAATGGTGGGGATGGGAAGGGGGATGGAGAGGGGGGTAGAGAGGGGAGTGGGACGAATGGATGCTGGGTTGGAAATGGAGATGGAGGAGCGGCGAGGCGGGCATGGGAGAGAAGAGGAGGAGATGGAAGGGGGGTGAGGGCGTGTGATGGGGCGGAGACTTGGAGGAGGGAACAAAGATGACGAGGGGTTGGAGGAGGGGATAGAGGGGGAAAGGGGCTGTTCCTCGATAGGGTTCGGTTTGCTTCGGTGTACTATGTCTGATTCTGTTTCGCAGACTTGTGAACTCAGAGTGTCTAGAGGACATAGTGTTAGGAAACGCAAGTTTCGCAAACGCGCAGGAACGACCAAAGGTGTTGGGTAGAGATAAGAATGAGTAAACTTGATCGTACAAATACCAACACCACATACCTACAACGCCATAGCACAAGATGTCCACTCCAATGCTCCTTGATGGATGCTTGTACTCAACGCCAAAGTTCAAACCCAATACCCCTAAATACTCTCCCCCGTCTCCGCCCTCGGCCTAAACCCATCCGGCGTAAAAGTCCAACCCCTCCCCTCCGTAGGCGTCATAGCCCTCCTCCTCTCCACTGGACTCCAATCCATGACGCCCGGCGCCGGCAACCCCGCAATGGCAGCATCATCTCTCGCGCGCTGTCTATCCATACTCTGTCTCTCCAGACTCTGTCTTTCCACCCCACCGCCTCCAGCACCACCCGCCGCCGTCGCAGCACTCCCCTGCATAACCACGCCGCCCGGACTGCCCAGCCCCTCAGTATCAGTAACCAGCCTGACACCCGCCGTCCGCTGGCGTTCCCTCTCTTTAACCGCCCGCTTTCCCTCCGCCTTCTTCTTCTCAAACTCGATGATAAGCGTTTTAAAATACGCTTCTGCGGCGCTGGTCGCGGAGTAATGAACCGGTGTCCAACTATAACTATTACTCGCCAGCGGATTGGCTCCGTATTGGAGTAGCATCCTCAGGGCCTTTAATTCCCCCGCCGCAGACGCATGGTGCAGCGCTGTGTTGCCTTGTAAATCGCTCGCGGAGAGTAAATTCGGTCCGTGGAGGATGAGCGTGGGAATGAGATGCAGCGTCCCCGCACCAGACTGACACGCCAGCATGAGGGCATCGAGCCCAGATTTATTCTTCCAATCCACCGCCTCAGGGAAGCGCTTAGCGAGGTAAACGCCGCATTCCTCCTTGCCCGCCGAAGCCGCAAGCATGAGAGGTGTTTCCCAATCGTTGTTCCTGCTGATCATGCCGTCTTCATGGCCAGCGTCGACGAGGAACTCGGCAATGGTCGTGAAGCCATGTTTAGCCGCGAGGTGCAGCGACGTGTTGGAGCGGTCGTCAAAGTCCGGGTTGCGCAGGTACTTGTGGTTGTTGCGGATGATGCGTTGGACGAGGGCGAGGTCGTTGAGGAGGATGGCGCGCCGGAGTCGCCGGGGTACGTCAATCCTGAGCGACGGCATTAGGGACGCGTTCTTGGGCTGGGGGGTACGTGGAGGGGCGCGTTACTCTGTGGGATACGACTTACATGGCTGCGGCAGTGAAACATGGTGGGATGATCAAACGGCGAGGAGACGCGCGGGCAATCGCGTAGTGACGTTGGGAAGCTGAGCTGCTGTGGGGCGGGAGCGTTGGGCCTTGGATCAAGCTGCGGAGACCTTTCACGGAATCTTGCTGCAACTGGCCTAGCACTCGCGTGGATGCGCTGCATGGATCCGTCCGTCAGATTAGCGACTCTTGTAGCATCTGCACTGTCACATGTCACTGGTGGGTGGATAGTGTGTCATGACGTCTCGGATCTGGTCTATTCATGCATCATTAAGATGTTTGTCCCACATTGTCGGGAACTTCTATCAATGCCAGCCCATATGCGGCTATCTTACACGCTCACGAAATGATCGTCCAAGCTGTAATGCCTCTACAAGCCTTCAAAGTCTCCAGCCGCATCGTCCTCGTCAATGTCGCCATCTTGAATCTCCTTGGCCAACTCGCGTTCTCTCTCGCGTGCCTCCTGAGCGTTCTTGAGCTCCAGACGATGTTGGTTCATGGGGTAGCGCATGGCCTTGACGCACTCGTCGTGCAGGGTCAAGCACGCCCGAATGCGCTCGTGGAATGCCTCACCAGGCTCGCGGGTTGCATAGATGTCGCCAGCGACCTTGGTCTGCATGAAACCCTTCTCGTGGTCAATTGAAGCCTCTATGACTCCGTCGCGGATAGCCTTGGCAACAATGTATTCGGCCGACTCCTCACTCTCGAGGCCAAGGCGAATGCAGATGTCGCGGAGCGAGATGCGCGAGTATGAAAGCGACAGCATGCGGATGCCAGTCTTGATGACGTTCTGGCGCAGACGGAGGATCAGGGTGTAGGTGCCGTCACGGTGGAAGACGGACGAGGATGTCTGCACAACCTTCAGGAAGCCCTGTAGGTCACCGACACGGACTGCCTGGACCAGGCGGAAGTAGGGCTCCATGGCACGCTCCAGACGGGGCTGGCTGAAGACGTCGCGCTCGGGGATATCACCCATCAGCAGCTCAACGACTACCAGGAGCTTCATTGAGGCCTGGTAAAAGCCAGTCGCGCAATGGGCAGAGGGCGACTTGCGGGTGGCGCTGATCAAGTGCTCATGTGCCTCAGTGTAAGACAGCTGGATAGCCCGTATGCGACCGAGGTAGTACAGGTACCTCGCGACCTGGTTGTTGGGGGCGTTTGGTGGGAATTGTGTCTGCGCAACGAGGAGATCGGCTTGTGTGATGTCGGCGGTCGAGAGGTAGTTTCGGAGCAGCAGGGTGGTGACAGACGCCTGCGTGTCGGGGTCTTTCCTGAGCACGGCGCTTCGGAGAGCGGCGAGCAGCTTTCCGCGGATGTTGATGACGGGCGACTGCTTGGACGGAGGCTTGGGGTCCATCTCCTCGTGGAAGAGGGAGAAGTAGAAGTAGGCCTTGGCCGCTAACGAGTCCAGCGTCCGCCTGTTGAGCTCTCGGATCTTGTCTACCAGCGTCTCGGCGAATTCGGCACCCTCTTCAAACTCCTTTTGATCGTAAAGATATACCTGCACCCGTTAGATATGAACCATTGCTGCCGTCACCAAACGTACCTGTATCAGAATGGCTATGTATACGTCCACCTCGGGCAGGGGCTCCTTGGTGTTGTTCTTGTTAAGTTGCACCTCCTCCTTGTACTGGGAGACGACGCTCTGTATCGCCTCGCCGTCCATGCCAATGTACTCGATGAAGTTGCGCGCCGTGGCGTTGTTGGGCGAGTACGTCAGGATGATGACAGAGCATAGCACGCGGTCGGTGAGCCTCTTGCGGAGCGACGATATGGAGCGGAGGGCGCGTAGGGTGAAGCGGGTATCGAACTGGGCGACGGCTCGCTCGAGGAGCACAAAGTTGCTGCGGATGTCTGTCGTCGTCGGATCAGCACGCTGGTACAGATACTTGCACGCCGCGACCTCGGTGGCGATGATGTGATTGGGGCACATCTTGCGGACCGGCCACGAGGTAGTGCAGTTGGTACAGGGGCACTTTGAGGTAAAAGGCATGTTGACTACTTACCAGCAATCGCCTTCTGCTCGACGTTCTCGGTTTTGGGCTGCTCGCCCTCGACGACGACGCCTTCCATGCTGTCCGCCATGATGGTCGCTCTTGACGTGGAGGTGGGGGGACGGAAGGTGCGGGTGTTTATGGGGGTAGTGGTGGGTGGTGAGGGTGGTGTTGATGCTTTGCGGAGGTTGAGCTCCCAGCTTCACTGACGCCAGCGCGGCGGAACATCGGGGAATAGTTATCGAGCACCGACGCGCCCTTGTTGACCCCCGCGTCACCCCAGCATACTCGATATACACTCTATCTCGGCATGGCACTTCTGGATGCACACCTAGAGCAGATCTCGCTCTGCTCAGCGTCGATTGCAGAGTTGCCGTGGGTCTTCCGTCCTTCACCCTCGATAGCTTCCAACTGAACACCCCCAGGTTCGCCCCGCCCAAGATCTTCACCAACGCGTTACTGCAAAACCACGATATCACGAGCTTGATTCGAGACACCGAACTTCACGAACGCGCACTATTCTCCGTTCCTCCACCACCCGCAGCCCCGAAGCATGCCGAACCAGCTCCGTCTACCAACAGGCGCAACACCATCTTCAACCCCAATGGAGGCGGCAGCACCAGCACAGGCGGCGGCGGTGCGAATGCCGTAAGAGCACCAAGGCGCAACACGGCTGTAGCAGCAGTTCTCGGCAATGAGCTAGTAGAGAGAATACGCCGAGGAGGTGGTGGAGGAGCGGGTTCTGGTCTTGGCTACAGAATGTACAACGGCAGCAACAAGAATGAGATTGACGTGGAGTCTCTGTTAGAAGGAGCCGAGAAGCTTCTTGGGGTCTAGTACGTCTCAATCAACGTCAGACATGCAATCCCCAACTGACCGAGGATAGCCCCATACCAGGCGTCCACGACAAAATCGCAGCCATGCGCCAACGACACGCCCAAGTCTCCGCCTCGCTAGAATACTACGAAAACCGACTTGCCGAACAACAAGCTCAGCTCGGCAAGCTGAACCGCTCGCGAGGTGACTACGCGGAGGAGGATATGGATGAGCTCGAAGAGGAGCCCGAGCCAGTAGTCGCGCTGACTGAGGAAGACCTTCGGCGAGAGGAAGAGGAGACGCGTCAACTTGAGAAGAAGAAAAAGGAGCTTGAGGATCGTGTTACTTCCATGTCGAGAGATATATCTGGTTTGAGGTGAATTGGAAGTGGTTAAGAATGTGATTTGAAGTTAGGCTAGGAGTTGCAATATGATACCCCATGTTTTCGCCTCAGCAATTTGGACTATACAGTGATAGACTACATGCTTATTCACGAGCAGAGAGAGGATGATGCAATCATTGTTATTCGTCAATCGTTACTAGGGATATTTTATGTACAAAAGAGGAAACTTGTCAAAGCCTCCATGCTTTCCGTTACTAGAACAGCGCACCACCCAGCATAGCGCCACCAAGGAAACCAGCTGCAATGGGCAGGCCGGCGCCACCGCCATAGCCGTATCCATACGGCCTACCGTACGGCCCAGCAGGACGCATATACCTCACACCAGGATTTCCAAACTGGCGTGCACCATAAGGATTATATCCATAAGCTCCCCTCGGAGCATACGGCCCATGAGGCGGCTCGATATAAACATCCCTGCCCTGACGGTCCTTGCCCAGCAACTGCGGCTGCCCCGTCTCCATAGCACGTATCAGAGCCTGTCTTGTACGCAGATGTTGAAGATACGCCTGCCGTTCCTGCTCCGCACGCTGAGATCGAGACTGTTCACGCTGCTCATGCGTCTGACCCGTGATCTTGTCCTTCAGCTTCCGTGAAAACTTGTGTATGCCTGTTGGTTCTCCAGGTGCCGCAGCACCTTTACCCTTCGATGTAGGTCGTGGAGGGAGTTGGTCTTCCGCGTCAGAGTCCTCAGCTGTGAGGTCCTCCAGTGTCATGGTTCGGTGCATGCGCGTGTGCTTCTTACGCTCTTCGGGAGTTAAAGTGTTGAGGTACTGCTCGTCGTCGTAGGGGTGCGTCCATATGCTACGTGGAGGATCGGCTTTGGTGTCGACGAAGAATTGGTGCGAGGTCTCTGGGTCGAAACTACGGACCCAACCGTCAGGAAGCGCGCGCATCTCGTCTTCCATGGAGCGGCGGCGCTCAGGTGGGATGCCATTGCGTTCGGTGCGGGCTGCAGGGCCGTCGGTGGAGACGCGGTGGATGCCCTGGGAGGGTTCGGCGTCGAAGATGGCGGCTTCGTAGCTGGGTGGTGGCTCGTTTGGATGGGAGGTTGCCATTGTGGAGGGTGTAGGTCGTGTGAAGCTTTGAGGGAGGTTTTTGGTACTTTTCTGTAGACGATGTCTTGAATTTGAGGTAGTAGAGCTTATAGGTGGGTAGATTCAAGATTGTTACAGTGTATGTGAACGTAGTAGCATCGTTTGATAGAGGAAGTGGCGTGTAGGTTCGTGACGTCAATGTGGCCGTGCATCTCAACGGGGCTAAGGGGCAGCGTCTCCGATGTGTTTCTTGCATGTGATCTTCGCCACCCTTCTGTGCATCACCAATCTGCACCATTCTGCCATCATGGCTTTGCCACACATCATGCGAAAGCCTGAAACGCGTGCGCAACATCCGGGGAAGCCTTTCCAGATATCCATGAGTGCACACCAGCCTCGTCTCTCCACCATGTGCGCTTGTCACACTGCAGAAATCCCCACAGGGACGAATGGCGCGTGTCCCACCGAGGTCTCGAGACCGACAACCGAGACCCCGGCGCTGGCTTCGGTAGTCTGAGATCTCGTGTTCGACGCTTCTTGCGCCCGGTAATTTCCTGGCTATGTCCGCAGCATCTGCGTTTGTTGGGTATGTCGAGCCGGACCAAGGATTACATCACGAGCGTGCTGCGACGATGCCAAACATCCTGGACATATCGATTCCAGCTATGAAAAACATAGCAGCACTGCCACTTTACTTGACAAACGGGCAGATCTCTATATCATCTTCTTCACACACCTCAATCAACATACCTTGCTCCGATGATCATGCGGCTGAAGCACCACACCGAGTTGGGAAATACGGTGTCAAACACGCAGGTCAGGTGCAGCGTTCCCGTCCCTCTTCTATTCTACCAAGGGTATATGGTCTTACGTCTACTGTCGAGGCAGTCAGCCTCGCGCGCACCTTGCTATCATTTGGAACCACCCACCAACGCTTTAGGAGATCTGTGCCGGGCTCTGGCTCTTCCTTACCAACCCTCGAATAGGCCTGGAAATGTTTTGGGGCACGTTGTTTGGTCATGCGAAGAATCCACGATACCACATCTATGGAAGCTATACTGTATGCATCTACTGACAAACGTGTAGCTTCTCGATGTGTGTACTCTTAGCGCTCTTGAGCTGTACAGCCTGCCCTATTTCCATCGACTACCACAACTCCACAGATCCACTGTCTGAGGCAAGAACGTATATCGCCATATGTTAAGGGTTACTAGTCAGAGCATTATGGGACGACCCGGGCGCCACGGTCGATTTGTGCGCTCAAGCACCCGATGAACTGGTCGCGAGACCTTCGGCGGGGTGAGGCTTCAGGTACCCGAGAGCCGTATGTGCTACCAGGCGAATGCATGTACTTTCCGAGGGACTTACTTGGGCAATCTCCCCGCGTTTGGAGTATCCACCGTTCACGTCTTAGGTCGATGTCTTAGATGGGACAAACCGACCTTCCTATACTGAATATGGATGGCCATCCCCCGGTAATTGACGCTACGGTACTGTACCTCATGGCTTGCTTCCCCAGGTTATATAGCTCGCCGCGCTCTGCAGCAAGGCAATCTTTACCGGGTCACTGTCCATCACTCGACACATTCCTTCATCACATACACGATTCAAGGACATTCACGTACTTCGCCTGGTCTGGATTACTATCCCTGTCTTAACTTCTCGTGCACTTATACGCTTTTAGCTGTCAGCATGGCGAAGCTGACACCTTTCCTTCTGGCCTTGTTTTATCTTTCCTCTTCCGTTCGCAGCCTGCCCGCGGTAGGAGAAGTAAGAAGAGGGCCAGCCAAAGTTGCGGCTCGCGAGATCACTTTGACAGACGTTTCGGTCACTACAAGTTATAGCACAGCTATTACGTCGCTGCAGTCGGCCTCTCCCACTGTAGAACCATCCAATACCGGTGTACGTTACCATCTCACAGAACGGGTTCAAAACGTAGAATCTGACGATGACTAGAGCTTTTTGACGGGCCTGCCTTCGGGTGGTTTCACGAAGGATCCAGTCGATGGCCCAGGCACTACAACAGCCACCAAGCCACTGTGTCCCGATGAAACGCCTCTTGAGCCTGGTCCCACAGCGCCCTTCAATCCAGCTTCGTCAAACATCTTCCAATCTATTGCGAGCGCAGTGATTCCGTCGGCTATCCCTTCCAGAGCAGACCACCCCGTTCAGAGACAGAACATCGACGACAGAGACGTGCCGGCCCAGACGAACAAGTTTTATGCCAACTTCTTCCTTGGTAGCCAATCTTTCCCGACCTGGACACACCCTTACTCTCTCTCGTGGGCTCGCCGAAACGATGGTGGTCCAAACGGTACGTAAAAACATACGCAGATGTCAGGCGCATACTGACATGAACTTCTACCCATCTCAGGTATTGCCATTAGTCACACAACTCGGGACAGATTTGCTTTTGTTCCAAATGCTGATGACACTCGATTCTTCATCTCACCGCTCGGTATCCAACACATCATACTGTCCGCAAAAGAACTAAAGGCGGACACATATCTCTCCCTTTCACGTTTGGGGGCCTTCTCCACATATGTGAACTTGCGACCAAACAACCTCCAGGGTACCCGCATCATGATGTCTCTTCCTGTTGTTCAGGGCATGGGCATGATGACAGCCGTTTACGACAGAGCGACGCCAGTCATCAAGACCACTGTTTTCTTCTTGTCCCTGGAATACGTTGCGCTGATCAATGGTATCACGCACAAGTATCGGATCGTACTCAACGATGGGTCGCACTGGCTTCTCTATGCCACTTCGGACGGGTCTGTTGGTACACCTCCCTTCGTGTTAGAGAATAGTGAGACCATCACCGGCCCTTCCGATTTTGTCGGTAAGATCCAAGTCACGAAGAATCCATCAGGCACGGCAGTAGAGGGCATATTTGACAATAGCGCCGGTGTATACCCAGTCAATGGCACTATATCCGGGAACGTCAACGGGGCTTTCGGGAGTTATACAATAAGTTGGGCCAAAGGCGGTGCAACGGAGCGGCCGTTGCTGATGTACGCGCTACCTCATCATGTCGAGTCGTTCGACCAACAAACTGCGGCCGCCTTGAAAGACATCACACTAGTCACCACGACGAAGGGCTTTGCACGAGCTATTGTTTCCGACAAGATGACAATGGTGGAGAACGATCTGCCCGACAGTATTGGTTTTGCCCCATGGGCCAAGAACCCCAGCGCAGCTGGAGGCTCGGAGAACATCAATCTGAACGCCCAAGCCCTCGCGCTCATCAACCAAGCTGGCATAGCTGAGCTAAGCCAGAACATGATTCCGCAGACCTCACTGAACAGCATGTACTACTCCGGCAAAGGACTGGCCAAGTTTGCTGCCATCATCTACACAATGAACACCATGACGGGCAACAGCCAATACGCCTCCGCTGGGTTAGGTCGCCTCAAGGACGCTTTCAACGTTTTCGTCAACAACACGCAGCCCGAACCACTTGTCTACGATCAGGTCTGGAAGGGTGTCGTGTCACGCGCCAGCTACTCCGGAGATCTTGGTCTGGACTTTGGAAACACGCTATACAATGATCATCACTTCCACTACGGGTACTTCGTTTACACCGCTGCCGTCATCGGCCATCTCGACCCTACATGGCTCGGCGAAGGTAGCAACAAAGCCTGGGTCAACAACCTAGTCCGCGACTTTGCAAACCCCGTAAGTGACTCGGAATTCCCCTTCCAGCGCTCCTTCGACTGGTTCCACGGTCACTCCTGGGCAAAGGGCCTCTACGAATCCGGCGACGGCAAAGACCAAGAATCCACCTCGGAAGACACTTTCGCCACCTACGCGCTCAAGATGTGGGGCCGAATCATCCAGGACGCGAATATGGAGGCACGAGGAAATCTACAACTCGCTGTCCAAGCGCGCAGTATCAAGAACTACTTTCTCATGGAAGCCGACAACAAGAACCAACCCGCTGGCTTCATTAAGAACAAAGCAACCGGCATCCTCTTCGAGAACAAGATCGACCACACCACGTACTTTGGCGGAAACATCGAATACATCGAGGGCATCCACATGATCCCGCTCAACCCCTCCTCCGCGTACACTCGTCGTAAGCAATTTGTCCAAGAAGAATGGGACACGTACTTCAGCAACGGCCGCGCCGAGCAAGTCCAAGGCGGATGGAAGAGCATCCTCAAGGCCAACCAAGCCTTGTTCGACCCGCAAGCTTCATACGACTTCTTCGCCAACCCCGATTTCAACGAGCAGCTTGATGGTGGCGCGAGTCGTACGTGGTATCTGGCGTACTCGGCAGCCCTTTTGGGTGCGGATGAAGCTGGTGCGCAGCGCGATTACCAGATGGATTACGTGGGGCCCGAGAAGGAGGGGCAAAAGATTGAGGCGAGGGAGGGTCGGGAAGTGTCTGTTGATGTGGATGAGAAGTGGTATGGCACGAGCTCTAGTGCTTGGAGTTCTGGGTTTAATTGGCCGAAGCCTTCGAGCACTGCGCCGGCTTCTACCTTGTCGAAGACTACTACTTCGTCTAGGGCTTGGTCTTCTGGATTCAACTGGCCGCCTCGTTCGAGCACTGCATCGATGACTACTTCCTCTACTCTTTCGAGTACCGCATCGATGACAACTTCGTCCAAAGCCTGGTCTTCAGGATTTAACTGGCCCGCCCCGACGGTCGTTAAACCTACACCGACTTCGTCTTCGACGACCAAGGAGCCGGAGATGACTATGGTTTCTAGTGCTGGCAAGAGTGGCGGCAAAGGCGATGAGGAGAGCTTGTGGGAGCTGAGTCTTTAGGTAGGTGGCTGAGCTGGCGGTGGATGGGAGGAAGTCGACATGTGTTTGTTCTTCTTGTGGCTATTGCTGTGTAGACTTATTCGTGTAGATACTATGTTTAGAAACGAAATCAGACAACATCTTTTATACGCGACTTTGCTAAGGACGACCGGCATCTCATGTTCAGATACCACGATTCAATGCATTGGAGTTTGCAGAAGAGTAGAAGGTGCTGTCACCGCCATGTGGCGTCACGGGAGTGGCGTGTGTAAGTGGGTCGGGATACGGCACCCGGAACGTCTCTTAAGCCGTGGACCGACCTACTATTAGGACATCGGGAGAGACCCTCTGGAGTAATCATTCGTTCTATCGGGCCGGCTACTATAACAAGTCCTATTTAAAGGATCAAGCCTGGGTCTGATCACTAATCCGATGAGCAGATATGTTTCGCACTTTACCGTATGTGTATGAGGGGAATAACGCTCCCTGCAGGTCCCCGCAACACCCGTATCTTCCGCGAATGCTTAGCAGTGATGATGGCGTCGCTTGCTTTCTTGAACTGGTCGGATAATGCCAGTCATCAAGAGATCTGTTGCAGCTGTGCATCAGGCTCTGGGGTGTTCACCGAAGGCTTGATTAACATTGTCCATTGCTTCCAATGAACGAATCGACCAGACCGCCATCTTCCAGGTGCCAAGTATGAACGCGCACCCTCACCGTCTCTTGACAAAGGTACCCATGTACCCATCCCACCATGTCTTCGTATCGCCAGCCCGTTAGTCAACGCAACGCACATACCACCGAGCTCGACGTTGAGGTTACGAAGTAACGTGGATACTTCTGACGTCGGAATACGAGGGGTTGTAATATATAACCACAACATCCTCATTACATTGCCATCCACCCACGCTTTCATCTCAAGTCCGAACCAACTCACCTAACACTCACCCATAAACCGACAAATTCATTCCAACCACCACAATGCACTTCACCCTTCCCGCCATCACCCTCGCCCTTGCGGCCGCAGTCAGCGCCAGCAACCCCATCCAAGCCGCCTGGAACGTAACCCGCTCCTACAAGGACGTCAGCCAACAAGTCGTGTCTTTCGAAATCACCGCCGTCTACGTCGACGAGGAATACCCCGATGGTCTCGAGTCAAAGTGCACCTGGGTTGAGAAGGGCATTGTCTACAACGTCCAGTGCACACCCGACACTTTCTCGCTTGAGCCCCAGCGCGATGGTCTGAGTAAGTTTTCGTCGCACGAAGATGGATGAAAGGAGTTGAGGCTAACGTGGAATGTGATTATAGCTATGAAGGTTCACCAGACTATCGAGAAGCCGAACCAGCAGGTCGTGTATGGAGAGGGCGAGGTACCCAGGAGTGGGCATGCTGTTATTCCTGTTAACGCTCGTGTCGCTTAGAATAGCGATGGCTATTTCGGGTATGCGTTGGAAGGCAGAGAAGATGGGGGATGTAAGAAGGCATGTTGAGTAGAAGTACGTTGGCAGAAGTTGAGAAAGAATAGATTGCACGTCAACCTGGGGAAGATCAGAACACTCTACATCAACGTTAGGTCACCTTCTTTGCATGTTTTTATGTTACTGTAGTCCGCAGACTTTTTCAGATTTTTCCCTGCTTCAGATGGGTAATTTCGCCTTTGACTTTGATTGCGGCTGGTCCTCGTTCGGGCTGCTTATTGACGGTATTATTGCGAGTAGCGACTTCGCTCAAGCAGAGTGAATGGAGTGCGCCTTTGACTCAGACTTCGGTTTGGTCCTTCGGGCAGGTCATTGAGATGGTACTTTGGTATACGGTATGATTGCGATAGCTTTGATGTTACTTCGCTCAAGCCTAAAGTGAACAATGTAATCTATCCCCCTGAACACATTAGGCATGGTTAGGCGATGCTGGATGATGCGCAAAACCTTGGAGGCGGGCCGACATAGTGTCTGTTTCGGTTCGTTCAATTTGCAAGTGGGCCGAAGAGGTAGTTCTAGCTTTAGAAGTGGACGGCGTCTTAGCACTGCCGACTAAGGCAACTCTGTAGAAAGATCGACGAAAAGCGATCGTCAAGAGCCTCGGGAGGCACACGTGCAAGAGCCTAGGGGTCGATCTTGCCACCCAGATTCGCGAGCAGAATGCGCGAATGGCCATAAGAGACAGCAGCATGAAGAGCCCTTAGACACATTCGCTGCAAGTCTGTCCAATGTTCCCATGAACAAATCTCCTTCATAAGCGTGTATTTCTCCATGCGATAGACATGGAGGCGGCTTCTAATTGTATGGCGCTTGCTAGAATAAGGCACGCGCTAGGGACGGCCCTGATTCGCACATGGGTCCAGGGGGAAATCAGCGTGACTCGCTGCCCACAGCGCCGAAGGTGACCGTACAACAACTCGCTTTACCTAGTCGACAGTGAAAATTAAGTTTCATGCACGGCCGAACGACTAGAGAACGTAGATGGCGCACGTCAAATGTGGGTAAAATGTTAATAACTGGTTCCCCCATAGACCATTGTGTCCGCGGAGGGGTTCTTTCATTCCACTACCATGGCGCCGCTTTCGCGACTTCTTACACGACGGGCAGCCTTGTTTTCCCTTGTTGCATCAACACTCGCACAAACCGGCAACCCCATTCTCGACCCCATTCTCGAAACCATTGGATCAACTCTTCAGGGAGATGGACTGATTGATGGTACACTTGGTGCTATCGGCGGAATACTAGGCGGCGAGCAAACCTTCGACTATGTCGTCGTTGGAGGAGGGACGGCAGGTGCTGGAGTTGGCGTAAGATTGGCCGAGGCAGGATTCAGCGTTGCTATAATCGAAGCTGGAGGCTTCTACGAGATCGCGAAGCCGGTCTTGGGCACCACTCCAGCAGGATCCTTTTTTGGAGTCGGAGCGAGCCTCGCCGACATGGTACCGACGACAGACTGGGGTTTCGCCACGGAGCCGCAACCGCAGCTGAACAATCGTCGAATTCACTATGCTCGCGGCAAATGCTTGGGTGGGAGCAGTGCTTTGAACTTCATGGTTTACCACCGCGGGACCACGGCGAGCTATCAGATGTGGGCGGATGCGGTTGATGACCAGAGCTATACCATGGCAAACCTTACCCCATTCTTCAACAAAGCAGTGACCTTCACTGCCCCTGGAGAGCGGTCGCTTGACAACATCACGACGACTTACGATGCATCCAGCTTTTCAAATAGCGGTGGACCTGTGCAGGTTGGCTACGGAAACTGGATTTCGATCTGGGCATCATACCTCGAGAAGGCTTTCAAGGCCTTCGGTATCCAAGAGAACACTGACTTCAACAACGGAAAGTTGCTCGGGTACCAATGGTCGCAGAGTACCATCCGATCCCGCGATCAGACGCGAAGCTCGTCGGTTGCTTATATACACGCCGTACAAGCCAATTCCGAGGCCTCACGCAATCTCAAGGTGTTTACCCATACACAAGCGCGGCGAATCTTGTTCGACAAATCTTCTGCCAGGCCTAAAGCAAATGGAGTCGAAGTGTCAGCCCTTGTTGGGCTGGCAAAGTATACCATAAAGGCTCGTCGCGAGGTGATAGTGAGTGCAGGAACGCTTCAGTCTCCTCAACTACTCATGCTCTCGGGCGTTGGTCCGACTGATCAGCTTTCGGAGCATGGTATCGACCAGGTCGTTTCAGCCCCAGGTGTTGGTCAGAACATGTGGGATCACGTTCTATTTGGTCCTTCGTACTCCGTCAAATTCAAGACTGTAGGTTCCATACTTCTCAGACCTCTGGAATTGGTCAATGCGCTTGTTGAGTACACAACGAGAGCCAAGGGTTTACTTACCTATGCTGCCGACATATTGGGCTGGGAAAAACTGTCGAAGGTGGAAGGAATTCGCGACAAACTCAGCCAAAGCACACTGGATGCCCTAGAAACCTTTCCTGACGACTGGCCCGAGGTAGAATACATCGCTGCCGACGCGTACGCAGGCAATTTCCGTTATCCCCTGGCGCAACAGCCTCTGAACGGCAAGAAGTATGTCAGTATCCTTGGAGCCATGGTGGCACCGCTATCGCGAGGCAACATCACACTCAAATCGTCAAATCCGCTCGCTGCGCCTGCCATCAACCCAAACTGGCTGTCTGATCCAGCCGATCAAGAGCTCGCTATCGCCTGGTACCGTAGGATGCGCGAAATCTTTGAGACTAAAGAAGTTGCAGCACAACTAGAATACATGGGTAGTGAAGCGTACCCAGGCCTCGATAAGGACAGCGACGAGCAGATTCTTGCAGTTATCCGAGACAGCGCAATCACAGTATGGCACGCCTCTTCGACCTGCCGAATGGGCAAGAGCGTACTCAGAGATGGTGTTCGCGAGCGAGTTGATGAGATGGACGTCGTCGACTCTGAGGCCAAGGTTTTTGGGGTAGATGGGCTTCGTGTTGTGGACGCCAGTATTTTTCCATTCCTGCCGCCTGGCCATCCTCAAAGCACCATCTATGCATTAGCGGAGAAGATCTCGCAGATCATTGTTCGGGATGGCCGCAGTAGTACGTAGCGCTACGCTCACAATAATGGAGTGGGAAATAGAAGATGATGACTGTGGGGCTACCAAACTGGTGTTGAAGAGACGATGTGATGCAACTTCGCGCGGGTCGGCAGTAATTAATGTGATTCGTCCGCTAGCCCAATCAGGCATAGTCCGGCTGTGCCCCAGAACGCGCAAAAGTGGGCCGATGTCAGCGCGTCGCTCACCCAACCCAACCCCTTTGTCCTTCCCGCAGTCCCTGCATGAACAACTTTGGAAGCGCTTTCGTCAACCTATGCATATAATCGTCCAGATATCGGCAACTCAACCGGCAAGCTCGAGAAGCTGCAATGACCGACTGTTTCCTGGCGATCGGTGATTCCGCCTGAGTGTGTGCAAGCACCCCACTGCACAGGCCGCAGACTTGCATCTTGGTCCACCATAGGAGCATGACATGCAGCGCTAATAGCTACCGAGCAGCTTCCAGCCAAAGGCATACCAGCAGGGTATCTGAAACACGACATCACTGCGCCAGAGCCTGCGATCATGGTTACGATGGCAAGCGTCAAGATTACAGCCATTGGCGAGTACCCGAGTGTAGAGATCTGTTTCACAGGTTGACGCGACTGATCTGTAATCGAGATGCGGACCATGAAGACACTCTGGGAAGCAAGCCAGTGGAAAAGGCTAGAAACGATCGTCATCGGAATCGCGTATCGAAACGGCACGTTAAGCCAATAGGTATCTCGCTGTCTTCCGCGCGGAGAGGTGACGCGCAAAGGTTTGCGCTCGTTAAAATACGAGGCCCATTCGTGTGCGACAAGCATATTCGTATAAAGTGCGTTGAAGGCTAGATAGAGGTACGATAATAGCACCTGTGGTGTGTTCGCAAGGACGATACCGCCTACTAGTGGAAGGTTGTAGCCGACCAGATTGGTGCCGTTGACCGTGCCGAAACCGATTTGCCAAAGTTCGCGTAAGCTTGAGGGCATACCATACAGAGAGGAGTAAAGACTTGGGATGCCGAAAGTAAAGGCGACAAAATATCTTTCCCGGGAATGGTAAGCTTATGTCATGATCTGAAATTTGCTGACTTACGTTGCGTATGTCCAGATCCATCTATCCACGCTGGGGGCTCTTCTCCAGCTTTCCTCTCTTGCAGTATATCTTTGAGGCACAGGTTTCCGCGCCTGTTGTTGGGGGTCACTCTCTTTTTCCCAACGAGACTCGACAAGCTTTCTGGAATATAAACAGCGATCGCGCGTTGTCGGATCTGGCTCATCGATGTATGTCACAACTACATCGCCCACCGTGACGAGAGGAGCATGGCTTCCGCAGATGAAGAGCGTTATGGCTATACAAGCCACTTTGACGACATTTGAAACAATGACAACCAGTGCGATAGAAAAGCTGAACTCCAATTTGCAGATTTCCTCAACTTGCTCGACTATGCAATGATTGACTCGATTACCATAAGGTTTCCAGTCTGACCGATTTTGTGGCACTTCAAATCGACTCCTGACATCGCACCCCTCAATTATATGGGAGGGACAGCGCCACGTGTTGGATGGATAAAACTCTGGTGAGGCCATTTCAGGTAGTCTCCCGGTTGTATTCGTAAGCTCGAAGCCGCTTCGATCTCGATCTGACGGGGAATAAACGTCTTCCCAAATAAAATAGGAGTTGTCGGGGTTCCGCCAAAGTTGCCACGTCTTGTTGTTCTGCCACACTGTCGGAAAATCCTGCACCAGGTACAAATTACCCACTTCCGAGACGTAATGGTTATTGTAGTGTCCAAAGCAATCCGACGTGCTGATGTTTTTATATCTCGGCATCGTGCCATCGTTTCTTAATTTGACAACATCAGAAAGATTGGGTCGGTACTTGTCCATTGCGATCACCATTTCCCGTGTAATCTCGTTCGTAAGGTTCTTAAAGTTAGATGTGTCATATGGCGCCCCATGGAACCAATCATCCACCATAGGAACAACCACGTAGTCGTTGGCTTGAAGGTTGGCGAAGACCACAGAATTGAAGAACAGGTGGAGTGGCATAGATGTTAAGAGTAGGAGAAGCCAAAGGACCAGTCTACTGCGTCCAATGTGTCTCAAGTTGCGTAGATTTGGCACCCCGATGTGTAGCCATATTCGTTGCGCATGAGCTCGGTCGAGCTCTGCCCTATCGGGAGCACTGAGGACCTGCATGCAATAATTGCTTGCGCATAACAGCAGTGTGCTGAGGATGTTGACGAGGAGATGAATTTTGACGTTTGCTCTTCGTATTCGTCCACAGTTGCCAATGCTTAATGTTCCGATGGCTCCTTCAACGATGTTTTCAGGATTCTTCCACACCCATATCGTGATGGCGAAGTTGAATATGGTAACTGATATCGCTCCTATGAGCGATAGGACTGCTCCGGGCCGCCATCCTGTCAGAAATGGTCGCCTGGCTGGCCGCCAAGGCTGAAACTCCGTGGGTCGGGTCAACAGCAAGAAATCGTCGTCGCGCGATTCATTCTTATTGCTTGTGGCGAAGCTCTCCGGTCGAATTGGACTAGCCCGTGAGTTATGAACAGCATCAATGCTGGAGTCGCTGTTATGTTCGTCCGTGTGCGCCCTAGACTGGTTAGCGACAGCTGCATTGACGTCATGTTGTCGCGTCTGGCTCGTACCTCTCGAGAAGCTCCATCCGTCCTAGATCGATACTCACGCTCGATCGCTCTTCTCTATGCAACGACTTATACATTGCATGCGAGCTGCGAATGCTATATCGCATGAGGACGGCACAGAAAGTATTTGAGCGCCTGTGGTATCTCGTTATCTATGATCTTTTCTCGGACCTGGAGCTGCGCCACCCGACTTCCCACTTCCCGCTCGAACTTCGCCCCGGCTGCGCCAGGATTTCGGCAGGTAGGGCAATACATCTCGACGATTCGCCGCCGGTGAGTTCGTGGGGGCCGAGCCGCAGCGAGCGGGCCGTACTTTAATTCAGCTACCTAGGTAGAGTGTCTATCCTCCGACGCCGCTGTTATGCTCAGCCCCCATCTTCCGAATATGGTCAAGTGCTTACCGTAGTACCATTCTCACCGGTCGCAGCAAATCTGTGAGAATGTGGAGTTCTCATGTCCACTCCATGTCACCAGCATCAATGCACTCACCAACATAACACTTTCATCTGCAGAGGCTCCAGTTTCCATTCCGTCGCGAGCAAAGTGGCATATTAGATGCCAATAAACACGCTATGCGCTCTCATCTAGCTTCGAGAATATCTACAGGTGCGTGTCTGTGACGACAGAGGGCGCAATACGACACGTCCACGGGTGACAGCCCTGGCAGTTATTGAAGGGCCATGAGACGGGCTTTCCATCCAACACCACATACCGAATAAACTCTGTGCTTTGCATACTGTACCCAGCTCGATTCTAATTACAACATTAATGCGCTGTAGCATGTCGGACTATTGGTTTACTTCCAAGCTCGACCCAGAGATGGAAAACCATCCTGAGGAAGTACTGGCACTTAAGCACTGCCTACGCCAAGACACCACTGTCACAGAAGCAGCTCAAACAATCACTCGCCCGGTCATAACCTCGATTTCTCCCAAAGACGATCTAGCCTGCCTGCAGGGTCTCCTACATGATGCTCTCCTAGAGCTACCCGCGTACACCGAGCCGCTACTATTCCTCCTTCAGGCCATCGAGAACCTCCTAGAACCCAATTCCACAGCTACCGAGCCGACCGAGCGGCCAGTGGAGAAGCTATGGAAAGGTCTACCCCATTTCGCTAATCTATGTTACGATATTGGTCATCGATCTGGAAGCTGGAAAATGGATGCCGAGAAAACGAGTGGCCCAGAGCGCGATGCATTACGAAAGGAGCACGTGAGAAGGGCAGAAGTCGAGGCACGGTTGGTTATGGCAGGCCTTGCGGATATCTCTATTAGCTAGGGATACGTCTCTAGTTCACATTGTTCTCCTTCTCCCATTTCACCACATCCAAGACTACCTCTTTGATGGTGTCATGGCCACTCTTCCACTGGGTTCCAAAGGCAGCCTCCGATTTCGAAGTGTCAATTTTGGCAAAGTTCTCCGGTCCCCTTCGCTCGGGATTAGGCTGAAGTGCAGGAATCCGCTTGGCCAACTCGGGAGATTCGGCGCGGAGATCGACTGCAATTGCTCGCAAGTCCATGATCTCGGGTGAAACTAATAGATAGCGTTCGTTGCCAGGCACTTTGTTCCGATCAAGGGCCGTGACGTGGGATTTGGCCACGTCGTCAGTGTTTCTGGAGTCTTATCAGCAAATTGCAAAGCAAGTACTAGTTGAGTGCACTAGAGCACCGCAAGGGCAGACCAAACCGGCTGGCTGACACCAGGAGCTCAAGGACCTGGAGAGACACTCACAACACGAAGGGAAGGATGTTGTCCACACCCTGAACGTCATCTCCAGCCAACAGCGCGGTATACACAGCAGAGTTGCCTCCCGGACCATTCGCGATAGGCTTGTATCCTGGTTGTGGGCTTCGTCCCGCAATCAAGGGAGGCAGTAGCATCACCACATCGAAGTCTGGTCGATTTGATTCCACCCATGACCATGTCTTGTGCTCCGCGTCGGTCTTTGCAAATACATACGCAGACAGTGGGTCGCTCTTGGCGTCCTCGAAAGTGATGGGGTTGAAGTTCTTCTCCGAAATGACGAGATTGGGATTAAAGAAATCGGGCAGAAGCACGGTTTGTACAATTGATCCGCAGACGACCACCCTCTTGACGGTTTTGCTCTTCTTAGCCGCTTCCAGAATGTTCTTGTCAATGGTCCACGTCGGCTCGATCATCTCTTTTACGAGGTCACCCCCAGGGCCTGCAAGGGGAGTTGCGACATGTACGATGGCTGTCGCTGATGAAGAAGGCTCATCAAACGCTCCAGCAACAGTCATGTCCGGGATGACAGTGAACGTTAGTAGACCGGACTTAACGGCGTCGGCAAATTTGGACTCGAAGAACGCGATAGCGGACGTCTTTCGTATGACTATGTTGACTTTGTGGTTTGCACGGATCAAGTGCTCAAGGGTGATTGCACCGACATTGCCGGTGGCACCAGTAAGAAGGACGGATTCGTGAGCCATGGCTTCTGACATTTCAATGTTAGCACCTGAGGCCACCAAAGCTTCAAGGAGATTTTCTTACCGTGTGATCGGTCGGATGAGTTGAAGGAGATAGTAGAAGAGGTTCTATACTAGTTGCTGCTTTCGGTGCCGTTGCTGTCTGGATGGAACTGGGAGTACAGGACCGGATATTTAAGTAACACACATGGTGGAGTAGTTGTCCTACAAACCACAATTGCCCTCTTTCAACCACATTCTTTCGCGGTTCGGTGTTTGCAGCACATTGCTTAGCAAGATCAGTAACCACCGTTATCGACTTACCAACCCACCAACGTACACACCCAAAGTCCCTCGCGAGAAGACGTCAAGTTCGAGCGCGAGCCCACGAGAAGATTACTTAGCAAGATCAGTAAACATAATGCCATGGACGAAATGCCGAGGATAACCCAATTGGTCTATCCAGCTCCTCGCTTAGCTACCGTGCTGGACAGGCCAATGCCTCAGCCGAAGCAATGACCGATTTGCCCCACCAACCACCACCACGGCCACCAACTTTACCACGCGGCGATAACCGCAAATGGAGCATATTGACGCTGCGACTGCAATGATACATGATTTAGAGCCTGGGGAAAAGCTTGTATATGCGTAAATTGCTAGAGAGTATAGTGTTGATCCGGAGTGGCTGCAAGTTTGTAGGAAGAGGTTCCGACAGGGTGCTGAAGAGGGAGAGAAAAGCTATGTAATGAAAGAGGAAGGGATGAGTTTGGAGCGGTGGTCGGCGTGGGAAGCGCGGTTGATAGAGCTGCAGAGGCATCCAGATATTGTTCAGCGGGGTGCGACGAAGGCACTTATTGCCATACGTGAAGCAAATGGAGAGAAGATGTGAGACTACCTGGGAGAGTATCACGACCGCCCCTAGCGCAAGACGAAGTCCACCGATTCATGCCCTTCTGACATGCACTCTGCATCCATTTTGCCGTCGATATAGGCTTCTCCAAGGAATTTGTACTCCTGTGGTGAATTGTAGCTATTTGAACGACGAAGAATGACAGGCACGCTGCACCCAAACAACATCGCAATGACATCGTTCTCTTTGGTGTCTAATGGACCGAGCCCTACAAGGTCCTCGGAAATCCTCAGTGAGGTAGGTGAAATCGGCGATGCTGGGATCGAGTGGGACATTGGCGAGCCGGCCGGAATAGTCGACCTTCCTTGGAGGATTACCCTGTTGGAGGTTACCGCTCGGACACGCTCCAAATAATCTTTGACAATACTCTGTGGTGATACAGATTCGTCTGCACGCAACAATTCGGTGGTATCGATATCGCCGTTGGGAGTTTCGTTAAGTAAGCAGTAGTTGCAGGCTCGGGAGTAATATGTCGGTACGTCTGAGCCGTTGGGTCCGCGACCGGCAACCAAGGTACGACGGAGCTGATCAGGCGCCGGCTTGTTTTCTGCTGCATGCCGGAAAGTCCACCCCAGCTTTTCTAGTCCTTGCTGGGGGATAAGGCCGGATCGTATCGGGGGCGAACTCCAGCTTACTCGACCGATGACATGCCCAGAGACTGTCAACGACATGTCGTGAGGAAAACCAGGTAGTCGTGAACCTGACGCCGGACTTGGCGACCACTCTCGAGCATCGCCGTCCCCGAATTGAACAATCGGTATACTGCGCCCAGAGGCGTTGTATACTGCTTCTCCAGGAAGGCCTACAAGGCTATCGCCAGCCTTGCGACCCCTAAAAACTGCTTCGCCAGCTCCATAAGATCCTTCTTCTGCAGTAAGAATCCAAGACGGAAGTTTCACAAGCCTTGGCGCAGCTGTAGGGCCAACGTCCAGCTTGTCCTTTTCTCTCAAAGCCCAATGACGGCAGATGATGTCCAGAGATTTAGATTCCTCTACCACCCATTCAACGAAGTCGCGATAGACTTCGAAGAGGTCTTGCTTATAATTAGGTTCCGGCGGCTGTCTATGTGGACGTGCAGGTGAGCTTGAGCTCCTCGTTTTGACAAGATTAAGCTCCTTGGAAAGGTTGCGCAAACAGTTGATAGTGTCGCGCGGATCGGATGTACTGAAAGTGGATAGCTGACACACCAGCTTTTCCAAGCTCATGGTCGATTCAGACGAGCCGTTTGATTTAGTTCGAAATAGGTTACTCGTCATCTCCACAAGTAGTTTCGCTCCAAGAGGTTCTAGATCAGATATCGGACTGCCGCCGAGTCTAGGGTTTTGTATCCTTGGTTGCAGTGACTTGAAGTAGCGATGGAAAATTCCGATCGCATCCCTGAAATCGTTCCAATGAACTTCAGATTGACCGCAATGAACGGTAGCCTGCTGAGCTAGTGCTAGTTCCTGGATGACCCAACGTCGCGAGAACCAGCTCCACTTGAGCAGTTGGAATAGACTTGCCCACTGCGGGATGTAACGATCGTCGGTGAGGAGATTGTTCAGCTTGTTCAGGTCGACCACATCTTTGATAAAAGTCATCGCTTTACTCGAATGGAAGTCCGGATCGTCCAGACCTAGCCAGATACAGACGCTGTATGCTTTCTGGTATATCTGATTCATCTTCATGACCTGAACCGTCTTCTCAGCATCGTTTTCCTGGTTGATGCAGAGTGCATCTACCCACAACGCCACATGCCTATCCTGTGCTCTCAGCCGTTTCAGAGCACTATACAGATTTGGTCGCACATAATGACGCTTTGCATAAAGCTTCTTCTGAGCACTGAGTACCGCGGCCGTGAAATCCTTTATGGGCTCCGTGGCCCATTCGTCGTTGATGATGATGCTGTGCAAATCATCGCCTTCGCCCCAGTGATACGAAAGAGCTTCGTAGCAATAATCATCGTTCCCAAGTTGATCTTCATCAACGACCTGTAGGATTGCGTTGATGTCGTCATCTTCTTGTCCTGGCTTGACGATAAGCAAGCGGACCTGTTTAGACCCAATGGACGAGTATTCGTAGGTGTCTTCGAGCTTTTTGAGGGCGTTCAACATTCGCGACTTCGTCTTAGTAGGCTTCTCACTGCCAGCAGGGTTTCGAATGCCTTGGTTCTCTTTGCTCTTGACTGCAGTCGGCTGGATCCTTTGATACCTCGTCAATTTTGGCAAAGAGGTCCCGACCTTTTGTGGCGGAGAGGAGGCTTTTGCTTCACCGATGCCGGACCCTTTCGGAGCAAAGATGGCAGATAGTCGCGAGTCATGGCGGTTTAGTCCTGGTCTTTGGTGCGTATCGCGTGATTCGCGGGAGTCTGATGCTTTGTTTGGAGTCTAGGGCGGTCAGATATCGATGAGACATCGAGAGCTAGCGATGTAAAGACGAAGTCAGCTCACCTGATAAGCTGTCTCATTGTCTTGTTCGTCCGCGCCCGCCATCGTGTCCACATGGTCTTGAGAATCACCATCCAGCTTGGAACGCTTGTTTGCTTTTTTATTGCTGTTCGTTTTACCACCATCATGGACTCTTTTGTTAGGCGGTGTCATTTTTAGAGAATGCGTATTCGCTCGTGCAAAAGATGTGGATCTAGGTCATGCCAGGTACCATGACCGGAGCAGGATCTCAACAGATGTTATGCATTTGGCAAGCTTGCTAGAGGGGGAGGCACACGGGACGGTGGTGTGGAGCTGATTGGACATCGTTGCAGCTCCCCCATCCCTCGCTTCACCAGACGAGGGTGACCGTACAGTTGCTGCATACTCGCGTCGGATATAGTCTGTTCAGCGAAAGTCAAAGTTGCTACCCAGTCCAGACCAATTACCTGTCCACAATCTAGCTGGATACTTTCTAGGCTCTGCGCATGTCCATGACATGATTCCGGTCGTGACTTTCCATGTCTTGGCTCTGCGCGCACGCAGCTATAAAGTCTGATCTGCTCTCGAGTATCTGCCGGTCTGTGGGTGATGGATAAAAGTCATGCATGTGACGGCATGATCACCAGAGCTTTCCTCTTTCCGAGGTCATATCGAGCTGAGCCAGCTGATGGATCCATGCCCAAGTGGCGTTGATCCTGGGTTTATCAGGCCCGTTCCGCTCCAAGAGGCTTATCGAAACCGCCTGGGCAATGCAACCTTTCAGCCATGCAGGCGGTAGCTGGGAAGATAGTTGCGATTTTTCAGCCTTGGCGGCAAAGTACCTGGGCATGTGAGCGAGACCAGGTATGAGAGCAGGTCTCAAAAGATTAGCTGGGTGGAGATGTATCCATAGACAGTACGAAGTGGGTGCAGTTGACATGTTCGCCTTTGCAATGTGTGTCTGTTCGCGATAAGTAGGTGGGTGGATGCGGAATGGCCCCCGCAGATGTGGGTAATTGCGATCTGCATCGTGCGCCCCGGCGTCTTTCGCGTCGTATTCGTGGGCAGTCGACCAACACTTTCTGCCCGTTTCAACTATTGCGCGCTTGATGGCGCATCCACCAGCCTGCGCAAACGATGCGCGATGTCATACAAGCTTCGCTGTATGTTCGACATTCGATCGCTGATCGGTGTGCACTCGATGACGGAACGGCTGTCCCATGCATACTCCACTACGCGCGCCTGGGCGCGTTGGCAGTGTCGGCGATGCAAGTACTGCAGCCTAAGGCTCTTTCAGCCTTGGTGTCTACGGCAAGAAAGCGTCTTTCTGATATTATGCCTCGCTCAGCCTGGAGGTTATCACGTTGTTGGACTGCGCCACAACAGGTGCAACGCCACCGAGCTCATATAGGCCTTCCGTGATCGTCGCTGAGCAAAGCGTTGCCATTGAACGACTATGGACCCTCTCAGTGTTACCGCAAACGTGATCACGGTATTACAGGTCGCCAACTCCATTATAACAATATGCTACGAAGTCCGTTCAGCTCTCAAGCAGAGTCCTTGGTCCCTCACCAGAACCATCGACGAGATAAGAGACCTTCGAAATGTCTTGGAGAGCTTAGAACAGGTCTGCCGCGCGCTCGACACATCAAAAGAATCCGACACAGCACGTTTCCGCACATTCCAACTACTATGCGAGTCCGAGACCAGCCCGTTAAGCCGCTGCCTCCAGGAGCTATCGGATCTAGAGAAGAAGATCAACTCCGGCAAGCCGACTCCTGGAAGGTCAACTCTGTTGGTGAAAGCGCGAGTGTTCACCCAGGTCATGGGCTGGCAGCTGAAAGAAGGTGACGCGAAAGTTTGTCTAGAAAGAATAGAGCGGTGCAAAAGCACTATACTTCTGGCGTTGACCGCAGATGAGACGTAGGCTACCCCCACTTCATCATTCATATCACTCTCAGCTCATCAAGCCTGGCAGAGCTCTGCTCCTTGACATCAGGAAAATGACCATCTCTCTGAACGAGACCACGGCCCATGTGCATGGCAATGTTTCCAAGCTCCTCACTAGGATGGAGAGCGCAGAACTAGGTGTGTCTCTTTATACCGTGCAACTTCCAGCAGCTGATGCGCACAGATGATCGATTCCGAGCTCTTACACATTGGCTTGCTCCAGTTACGCCTTGGGAGAGCCATGAAGCAGCTGCTTCTGCAAGGAAATCTGGAACAGGCGGCTGGTTCATCGAGTCGAAGGTGTTTCAAGCCTGGGCTGTCTCTGGCAATGCTGGACTATGGCTGAGCGGCTTTCGTATGTAACATTGTGACAACAGAAGTGGCCGTGCTGACATCTTCGCTTAGCTGGGTCTGGCAAAACTATCCTTTTGTGAGTATGTGCTGAACTCTCGAGTATGCAACAATTAACTTGACCAAAGCGCAAACGTCATCCAGTCTCTCGAGAGTTTACTGCCTTCTTTGCCGCAACCCACGTTGGCGGCATTCTTCTATTGCGACTTCCGCAAGGCTGAAGCACACGACCCCACTAATATTCTAGGCTCTTTGGTCGCGCAGATATGTTCCCAAACTGGGGCCAGCTATGACGAGTTGGAAGCTGCTTTTGATCATAGTCGCCATTCGAACAAACGGCCAACCATCGCCTTGCTGAAAGATATGCTATGTTTGCTTTCCGCGTCGAGGAGAATCATTTTACTAGTCGATGCGATTGACGAATGCGTTCAGCGGAAAGAGTTACTGTCATCCATGGCTTACCTCCAGAGCCTGGGAAAGAATATCAGCATCTTCCTTACGAGTCGGCATGAGCTCGATATCCAGGATGCACTGGCTTCATTCGAGCTCATTCAGATGGAAGGCTGGACAAGAGAGGTCGATGAAGACATCAAAACGTATATCGACCACAGACTACAAACTGATCGAAGTTTGTTACGGCTGAAACCGTCGGTGAGGGATGAGATTAGTGTATGTTTACATGAAAGATCTTGTGGAATGTAAGTGCCTCTTTCATGAACTCGCGTCACATGAAAGTAACCATACAGGTTTCGATTGGTTCAGTGCAGTCTTGACCAAGTATCTGCGCTTCGTACCGTCCGCGATATTCGGACCACTCTACAGCACCTTCCACAGGAGCTCGGACAGATTTACGAAAGCATATTGATGAGAGTTTCCGCCGCTGATACACCCATTGTTCGCAAAGTCCTACTCTGGCTCTCATTCACAGTGTTGCCAGTCACACTAGAGGAGCTTCACTCTGCTATCGCTATTGAACATGACTGCGAAGAGCTGGATGAAGACTCGTGTCTAAGCAGCGCAGAAGAGATAATTGCAGTTTGCGGCAGTCTGATCACAGTCTCAACGAATGGGCCAGGCCATGTCCGTCTCGCTCACCTATCTGTGAAAGACTATCTGCTTTCAGAAGATATTCGCAACGGCCCTGCGACAGCCTTTGCGCTCAATCGAACAGCAAGCTATCGCGAACTTGCTTTGGACTGCCTCACCTACCTCTCTTTCCGGAGCTTCCAGAGCGGTCCTTCAACATCCAAGGACGAATTCGCTGCACGCTTGGCAAACTACCCTTTCCTACGCCATGCGACCACATCCTGGACATACTACCTACGGGCAGCTGAAACTCCAGAGAAAGCATCAATTCAACATGACGAAAAGGTTCTTGCGTTCTTTTCTCCGTCCAATCACGAAGCGTTCATGTCCTGGATCCAAACTTTGAACACCGGGTCTTCCTCGGCTGGCAGCAGTTGGTCTTCGTATCCAAAGCATGCAACCGCTTTGTACTATGCAGCATCTTTCGGATTGCTCCACGTCTGTCAGCATATCATCCACCAAGGAGTAGACTTGAACGTCCCAGGTAGTCGATACGGAGGTACCGCGCTGCATGGAGCCGTGTGTCGTGACCAACTGTCGGTCATTCGCGCACTATTAGAGGCGGGTGCGGACGTCAACAAGTGTGATTTTGACAAAGTTACTCCATTGCATACTGCTTCAGGCGAAGGCTATGCGGAATGCGTCAAGCTGCTGCTCCATTATGGGGCGAACAAGGATGCGTTAGACAGGGGTGGAGAAAAGCCTATAGATTGGGCTAGGAATGCGGAGCAAGATGAGTGTCGAGATGTGCTCGATGCGAATCTTGTAGAGATTGCAGAACCCTTAGCTGGTGCGGACGAGGCGAAGATGTGGACTGGATGGAAGGGAACGTACGTTCCTGTTTGGTCCTCGCGAGTATAATGTGTCGCTTGCGAGATCATTTCTATTGGTCATGAAGCGGACGGAGAAATCGTGATGTTTGGATAAATGCATATGATGCGAGAGCCTTTTGAAACGCGTCACTCAGGCTGCGTATCACATTTGGTCGTAAACCACATGAAACTCCTTTTGCACCATTACACCCCCTAGTGAGCCTGCGATGTCTTCTCTAGTCAAGCCCTCCCTAGAACTCGATAACGATGTCGCTGCTGATCGACTCTGCTCCACATTCCTATGTGTAGCGTCGCCCTTCCCGGAGTATACGATTGTGGATAGCTCGATGCCTTGCTGATGACGAAGAGGCTCTTCAGAGATGCTAGTCGTTCTGTTGAGACTCCCGGTGAGCCGGTTGCATAATGAGTTCCAAGCTTTATCGGAGGTCCGCCCCATTTTCGAGTCGTCCTGAGTGGTTTTGGCGGCGCTGCTTCTGCCCTTGGACGTCGTCCGTATACCACCCCGACTTGCTCCCATATGCGTGCTCATACCGCCGATTTGTAGATGCGAGAGGAAGGTCTGGATACGAGGTAGTGTAGCGTGATTGATCGAAAGGTGAACAACGATTTGATCCATTACGGCCCATCTCAGCTGCGATCCTGGGATATGATCAGCAATATGCTCTGATGAGAACATGGCTCCTTACGTGTTTGATCCTCTAGCTGAAGAGCTTTGTGAATGACTACCATTCGTCCAATATCCACGACGCAAATGAGTAAACGCGATCCGAACAGCCAAAATACAATGGATTTGGTATGGGCTTTCATTTGAACACCCCGGATAAGTGGAAAGATCCAGAAAGCAAGCACAGTGTCGCTTAATATATTAAAGATCGTGATCGGATAGTACACGTTGCCATGTGTAGAGCAATTCTTCGGACTAAGTATCCAAGGTTGTGGTAGCTGGCATTGGAAGGCGATCAGAAAGAGAGAGAGTAGTGTGTAGACAGCGACCATAGGTATAAGCCATCTGGTAGCTTGAGGCCCGACTTGTTTTGGAGCGATGCGTTGGAACAGAACAACGAGCGATAGTTTAGCGAAAGCGAGAGCAATGACGCCCGAGATTTGTGCGGTCCAAAAAAGCTATAAGTATATGTTTAGTATAGTTCGCAGCCCCTAATACAACTGTTTACCTTGAAGTAATGAGCCATTTGCTTGTCATCAAGCGTATTTTGGTGTCTGCCCAGGCCTGCTCGGACGCAGAAGTGAGACAGGATGGACGTGAAGACACCAAAACACTGAGCTTTATTAGCAAAGTGAGTACAGGAAGTTGAGACATGAATTCGTACAAGTCCTGTACCAAACACGATGTCATCAGACTCGAGCTGATGGAACTTTTGCCGCCGCATTGCCATGCGGACAGTTGCGATGAGGATACTTGTAACTGGAAGAACGATGGAGACGATCGTGTTGATCGGGCCATGGTCTTCGGCCGTGAGTGCGGCTATGGGTTGAATAGTGCCAGCCATGATAGAGCGATGAAGTAGTGTTGGAGTTGGCACGACAGGAACGCTGACGCCTAAGATCACTCATACTAAATGTCCTTCCTCACGACCAGCTCACTGGGATTATTCGGGCGCTCATTCGTGCAGGCACGGCAGGAGCAAAATCCTTCTCGCTGATAGCCAACATAGGAGTTGGCGGGCAGTACCCTGCTCGCATAAAACAGGTGCCTATGATAAGAGAGTCGCCGCCGCTCTTAGGAGCCTCATCTCATACGTGACTATGAGGCGCAGTAGGAATGATATTGCTCAGAGCCCTTGCCGACTTTGATGGTCACGTCAGAAGGACTTACAAGGGACATGGCGGTAGGCGGTGTCGCCTGCGAGATAATCCCTCGTGGCCTCATCTCTGTTCCTTCCTGTAGACTGAGTGCTAGCTGTCAGAGGTCAATTAGCCGAGGCGTAAAGTATATGGTGCTATTCAAAGCAAACTTATGGCTTGCACAAGAGTACCTAGGTGTCATGGACGGTGCAAAGGTTCTAGCAAGGCCACAGATGCCCACTTACGCGGCCTACCAGGGTGGGTGTGATGGCGAAAGGCAGGTCGCATCGCTCGAGAGTGACTTGGGTTTGTATCCACAGGAACCGAGCGGATGGGTGCCCGCCGCCGCGCACGGCCCGAAGCGAGGTTGATGAGAGCAGTAGAGTACCGTCAACGTAGGAAACGATTGAACAGGTCTACAACCTACATTAACATCCATGAGTGAGAACATGCAAAGTAGGCGACCTGACTTCGATGTAGACTCCAAACCTGTTCAGGTAGACATCTTAAGTCCCTTAATATGCGAGAAGTGATGAATGAAGCTCGAGCGCGAAGCCCGGAAGGAAGGTGCAGTGATGATTGAAGCGACGGCGAAGAGCGGTTAGCGGTGATACTGCGCCAAGACCCCAATGAGGTTAAAGGCCCGGGCTAATTTCCATCAAGACCTCGGGAGGGTCAGGCCCGTGCCGTTGCTGTTCCCCCACCCGCACGGCAATGCTTCTTTTACGCCGCCTCAGATCCGAAGAAGACAAAGAGCTGCGAGCTGGAGCTACTAACGCCATTTGATGATGAGATTCTGTGTCTGTCGACAGGCGAGTTGTTGTGCCGCGCGCGCAAAGACACCAATCCTTCAAGTAGTGCTCTGCTACCTAGGCATCTCTTCTACTGCTAGAGTGCGATTGTCGAGCCTCAATAGTACCTAGGTAATATCGGCTAGCAATCTATATGTTGCTAGGAGAGAATGGGGAGGGCTGTTAAGAGGGGACCTGGAAGTAAAGAACCCTGTCAATGCACATCCAAGGTAACATTCGAACGCAGCTTCCACCCCAACGAACTGTTTTAGACACCTCGCGTCGATGCAGACTTGCGGCGTAGGCATCCTGCGATCCCCACTGTCTCTTTGGCGACTGGCTAGGTCTGCTCTCGGAGCTTGACTACATGAGTCAAGTTGGAATCCTGAGATACGCCCGGGCATGGGACGTAAACAGGAAGTATACTGCAGCTCGCTTCGCAGATGTCAGGATCTATGCCGCTCAACAAGAGGTCGGCTCTAAAGATCGTATGTGGTCAGCCCCAGGATAAAACCTCCGAACCTCATGTCCAGTGAAATCCCTTACCACTCACAATGCTTCGTACTTTAACGGTTTCCCACGACCACGACGCATCTCTACGACCCCCTTCTCGTTCCATCGATATGGACAAAGATGCGGCGCTTGTCACGACGACCGTTCCAGATTATCACGATGGACTACGGGAGAAGACGGATAAACCCAAGGATGACACTCTCCCCTCAGGTTCCTCAAGTAGTGGCGGGTTCCAAGTAAGTCCCACTGATCCATTGCTCAAAGATTGGCCAGCTAACTGCTCTCTCAGCGCTACATAAACCAACTCGCCATTAACAACTTTGGCTTCACACTTCAAGTAGCATGGGAGGCTGTTGGCCTGTCATTCCAGCTTGCATGGCTGAATGGTGGCCCTGCCGCGCTCGTCTGGGGATCTATGATCGCTGGCGTCGGTTCTACCCTCGTCGCTACAGCTTTGGGGGAGATGGCCTCCATGGACCCCACCGTAGGTGCACAGTACAGATGGTCAGCGCGCTTCGCTTCATTCGCTCCCGAATTCTGGGGTTTTATTCAGGGTTGGATCACAGTCATTGCCTGGATTTGCAGCTGCGCCGGTGCCTTCTCCTTCATGTCGAATACTTTATCCGGCTTGATCATCTTTAACAGCCCAAGCTACGAACCAAAGGCCTGGCACTCGACGGTGTTCCTGATCGCCTTCCTCATTGTTCCGCTGGTTCTCAACCTCTACTTGCGAAAAATCATCAACTATTTGGAAACGATCGGTGGTATTTTCCACGTTGTCTTCTTCGTTGCCATCGTTGCGACACTCTGCACGCTTGCGAAGCGCAGTACACCCGAATACGTCTTCATGACCTTGCACACAGACGCCGGTTGGGAAAATCCCGGTGTCGCATTCTCTATTGGCATGCTCGCTGTGGCATATCCCATCAGCAGTTTTGATGGTGTCCTCCACATGAGTAAGCTGCGCAACCCAACTAACTCAACCTCCAATCCCAGTGCTAACATAGTCCACAGTCGAGGAGACCAAAGAACCTCGCAAGCGGGTACCCAAAGCTATGATCTTGGCAACCTCTCTGAACGCAATCATGATGGTCGCCTTCTGTATCTGCTTGATGTTCTGCATTGGTGATGAAGAAGCCGTCGCGAAATCGATCTTGCCGATTACGGAGGTCTTCTACTCCGCGTAAGTGCACCACCTGGGAGGTGACACAGGTTGAATACTAACATGCTGCAAAAGCACAGGGTCGAAGGCAGCATCAACGGCAATGACGGTTTTGATGGGGCTTCAACTGATGGTTGGCAACTTTAACATCGTTGCATCCGTGGCTCGATTAGTCTGGCGATTCGCATCCGACAAAGGTCTTCCTTTTCACCAGCACTTCACCTACGTGAGTCTTGACCATGCCCGTAGTTATCGGATCAAACTGACAATACTCTAGATCCATCCGACGCTCCAAGTTCCAATACCCGCACTGTTCCTAGTTGGCTTCATATGTTGCCTTCTATCGCTCATCAACCTCGGTTCCGCAGCCGCCTTCAATTCGCTCATATCCCTACCTACCATCGCGCTATACGTATCATACCTCGTCCCAATCTCGCTATTCACGGCTCGTCAGCTTGCCGGTAAACACCCGAAGTACGGGCCCTTTCAATTGGGCAGATGGAGCATTCCGATCAAGCTCTGCGCCATTGTCTACTTGGTATACGTCATCATCTTTGTATCGTTCCCAGCATCAAGACCAGTGACAAGCTTGACAATGAACTATGCGCCACCGATTCTTATCGGGTTCATGGTCATTGCGATGGTGGATTGGTTCCTTAGGGGTCGCAAGAAATTTGAGGTACCTACAGCTGCACTCGAACATGGAGAGGATGATAGGCAGTAGGTATGCATGTTGGAGGCTGTATGGTGACATAGAATCAGAATTCGGCTCTGCTAGTAGGCGCAACCCGGTCTATTAGTAACGTTTGATCGATATTGATCCCTGGACGCCTTCGCAATGCCATATATCTCTCATGAGCTCTTCGCTAGCTAGCTGCACTTCATCAGCATGCCGTTCTGCAGTGGAACCCAGCTACGTTCTTACTCCTGTCTGAGCCGAAAAGACATCTCAGCCCACACGTTGGCCAAGCTGCAGCTCTAAACAAAGTAGGAGAACACCATCGCCACCAAACCCAGAGCGAGAGCACTAGGTGCGGCTCCCGCCATCGAAGCACCAGAAGCCTCAGGAACATTGTTCGTAGCCGCACCACCCATATACCACGACCCGATATCCGTCAACTCGCCGTCCTGGGTAAGCATCGCAGCGTTCGCGCCCACGTTGCTGACATCCGATCGGAAAGCGCCGAAATAGGAGTAGTGTGTGATGTTCCTGATACAGCATTAGCCAACATTATCACTGCCAGAAGCCACATGGGACGAATACTTACGGCCAACTATCAAAGCTCTGCGCGCTCATGTTATAGAAACTCTGCGTCTCCTCAAGCGGCTGATTCGGGTACCCATACTCCGTGACCCACACCGTCATGTTCGGCCACATCGTTGTAACGCGTCCAATATGGCTCATCATACCCTCAAAGTTGCCATACCAATGCACAGGGATAAAGTCGGGGTTACATCCGCCATCGCACTCGTTGAAGAAGTTCTCCAACCACTGCCATCCGGACTCTGCGCCTGTGACACCCGGTGCACCGAGTTTGATGCCGAGTTCCTTGAGCGGCTCGATTTCGGCTTTCCAGCGTGCGGCTGCGGTGGTGACGGCGAGGTTGGAACCGCCGGTGCTGTGGCCGCCGTCGGGCTCGTTGAAGCCGAGGACGGCGGTTATGTTTGCTCCGTCTTTGATCTGTTGCTTCACGGAGTCGAGGAAGGGAGTGCCGGTATCGCTGTCGCTGGCGCCCCAGAGCATGGGGACGAATTGCATGTCTGGGTTATCTTTGTAGGCAGACGAGGGGTCTTTTTGGTAGTTGTAGTACCATGTTGGAGGAGAGGGACCTGTTGTCCAGATCTTGTCGTCGTCGGGGTGGTCATCGGACGGGACGTAGACGAGACCGCGTTTTGACGATGTTGAGGCCGTGGATTGTGCGGTTGTGGAGGTTGTGCTCGTGAGCAGCACCGTGGCGGCGCTGAGGAGCGCGGTTCGTCGCATCTTTGCTGTGAGGTTTGTGTGGTGAAGTGCTCTCGGCCGTAACGACGTATGAAATTCGACTTTTTTGGAAGTGGACCTGGGTGTTCGGTACCAGCGATACAAAGATGGGCCGCGAAGGGGTCCGTTGCTGATAGTTTGGTTGTCGCTATCCAGGGACGCCTCAAGATACCTCTTTGCTTGTCGCAATGTGCAAAGACGAAGTAGACAACAGGAGGCGATCAGGTAGGGAACGAAGCAAGAGTACCTTCCAGAGAATTCCAACTCTTCTAGCCAGCTCAGCCACGAAAAAAATCCAAAGCTGTCAGGAGAAACCTCTAAAGCGAGTCGTTACGCAAGCCACAAATGCGCCTTTGCAACCGGGCCAAGGCGAGACAATTAACAAGCCGGGTATCGTAAACAGGTCCAGAAGTCCGGGAAAGAGAACAGGAAACGAACGATCAGTTGCACAGCGAGCGCGCTCCTTCCTAGATAGATACCCGTACGAGTCAAAGAATTGTTAGCTTCCAACGCCGTCAAACGTCATGAACTCAGGTACTTCAGAAAAAAAGATGCTTAGGTGCGCTACGAGGCTGGAGATAACAATATAACCCCACCGCCCACCCACGCTACACCTGCACCATGGCTGTTAGCATCTATCGAAAAGAGATAAACCGGCATCTTGGGAGCCGGCTAGATTGGTGCCGCGCCGCTCAGAAAAGCGTAGTGGCGTTGTGCTAGGTAGGTTTTGGAACCTTTGGTGACGCCTGCCGTGACGCAGGTACAAGCGCCCATAAGCCCGCGCCACAAAAGGGGACAAGGGACGACCCAAAGTAAATTCTCGGGAGATCGACTTTGCCGGAGGCGTTCGACGGGAAAAGCGTGGTTTTTTGGTGGGACGAGGGTGATGGGATAAGGATTTACATCGAGCGATCTGAGTGATCGGCAGGTACAAATCTGCGTCGGGCTGTCGAGAGTTTTGCGTCGTCTTTTTGTTCAGGTACTACATGTCGCAGCCCAGGCAAGGTACGTCGCTAGGATGTATTGGCTCAGGGGTGGCGCATGCGAAGTGTGTCCCAACATTTCGGGGCTGCAGCGAGTGTTCAGCTGGCCGGCTGGGTAGCTCTCTGCCTGCAGGGCTTATCGGCGGAAGTTAAGATCGCACGTGCTCTGGACGATTCCCGGCCAGGTGCCGCCGAGCCGCGTGTAGTAAGATGTCAAGACATGGCATTCTCTGGGCAGACATCACTCACAACCACGGAGGTACATGAAACAGCGATATAACAGTTGGGTATTGGTATTTACATCTTTCGCTACATCCTAGTTCACATTGCCGTTCCCATTCCGTTTCCAACTCCCCTCACTCCATCCCTTTTTCAACCTTCTTCTCCTTCACTCCACCTTGACGATATAGCAGAAAAGATAGTGGTATGTGTGCGCGAGCCCCAGGCTTACCGCTTTGCATGAGATTACAAGAGCTTGTATCAGATCTTTCTTTACACAAAAAAACTCGATGAACACAAGGAAAGATTCGTAAATACACAGACGTGGGGCGCAGGTATGGCCCGGTCCGTGTGCGGGAGATAGATGACTGAGGATATGGTTTGATCGCTCTATGGTTTGTCAAATGCGACCACCGCGATGCAGACATAGGAACAAAACAAATAGGAGATTATGCCTAGATGGCGAGATGTTTCGCTTCTTTAGGTCTTCGCTCTGGCTTAGTAGGCATAGGGACCAGGAGGGCCTCGTGGTTGTTGAGGCTGCCATGGCGCGTTGGCCACGTAGCCGGGTGGTTGGTGGAAGCCAACATCCGCCTCGCGCCCTGGACTGCTTTCGCGACTCAAGCTCCGCTCATGCGTTGCTGTGCGACCGAATGTGGATGCATCGGCGAGCAAGTGTCCTTGATCGTCACCGAATGAACGACCACCGGGACCGTTGTATGCGGTGTTCTGATCCGCGAGAGGAACGCGGTCGTAGCCGGCGGTGCGGGGACCGAACGGCGATGGAAGGGAGGTTCGCTTGTACTCTTGGGGGTCCATGAGTAGCGAGTTGCGTGCGTCGAGAGGAGTAAGGGTGTCGAGGTCACGAGCTTTCTCTGCAGGGGCTGTTAGATGGTGTTGACAAGCAGGGGGTGGAGAAGACTTACCAGCTGCCTTTCTCTTCTTACGGTGAGGGTTCTCCTTGCAGCAAATTATGATCGCGTTGACTGCAATGAGGATAGCAAGAACACCAGTGAGGGAAGCCTGCACAACGACGAGGACCAGACCGGTGACGGTCTTAGTGGTCTGGCTCATGCCAAGTTCTTCGACGAAGACCAAAATGCAGACGACCGACAAGACGCGAACGACCGAGATGGTAATGTTAATCCAGGTGCTAGACTTGAGCGTGTACGGACGAGCCCAGAGAAGCATGACAAGGAGAAGCGACTCGACGATGAGTTGGCCGGCAGCCTGTGCGAGACCGTGGCCATCTGCTCCTGCGATAACGCAACCACGAGCGAACATGAAGATGATGGCCGGTACGAAGATCCACCAGTAGCTCTTCTTGTAGTTCTCGTAGAACATGCTGTACTTGCGCCAGATCTCTTTGTCTTCGTAGAGAGCGTCGGGCTTTCCCTCCATCTTCTTGAACTTGTCCGCAGTGCTCCAGATCTTCCAGGTGAAGAAGGCCAACACTCCGGTGAATGCAGCTAGAGTGACACCAGCGAGTGTTTTGACAGCCCACGAGTCTCCGTTCTTGAACTGGTAGACACAGTAGAGAACCCAGATACCGTAAAGCAGGAGGATCAAGTTGGTAATCGTCTTGGCCAGAGTCCACCAGTATCGCTTACGGAAGCTTGTCAGTTTTTTCGGGAAGCTGCCAAATAGTGCCCATGTCTCCAGAATGACCTTGAAAAGGAGGATACCAACGGTGATGGCAGCGATAATGATGGCGAAGATGAGTAGCACTGTCATGAAGGCGTTACGGTCAGGAATGGTGTACTCCTGGATGAAGCCCTGCATGTCCTTTGCGTAGACAATGACCTTGTTGTCACCTCCCTCTTCGGCAGTATCGTTGACGTTCGTGTTCAATTCATCGCGAGCGAACAGGACGTCAAAGCTGCGCTTGGTCAAGGTCATGTTCTGGTCCACGTGTACGAGGGTAGCGTTCTTGAGAAATTCGACACTGCTCTGGGTGAGGTTGCCGCCGGTGCTCTTACGGAAGTTGTCGATGGAGTGCTGCATTCCCTCCCAGTAGATAAGACCGGTGCTAAAGGCAAAGTTCTGGGACCAGCTGCGGTATACACCAGGGACGTCAGCGCTCATCATGCCGTTCAAAGCCATGGCCTGGAACCATCCGATGACGTCGCCGAAGGTAGGACTGGACTGCGCCGCACCAGGGTGTCCAGCGCCAGCGAGCGAAGCCAGACCGGTAACAGCCAAGGCAGCTCCAGCAATTCCAGCGGCGATGTATTGTACTCCTGCTGTAGAAAGTGATTGTCCGTTGCTGACTTGAGAGGTAATACAGGCCAGGTCCTTGCCTCCATCTTTGGCCTTGAGCTGCATCCTGGCTTGACTGTCGATGTCGGGAATGTTGAAGGCGATGCTGGGGATTTGGGACATGATGCTGTCGGGGATGCTCTGCTCGCCCTGTGCGCCGAAGGTGCCCTTGGGAACTGCTACATGTTAGCTTGTACATTATGCGCATATCATCGCTATATGCGTACCTGGACATAGCTGGTCGACCTTGTATTCGCCATCGCAAGGGTCGAACTCTTTGTT